GTCCGCCATCTTGTTTGTTCTCTGAATTTGTCTTCTTGAACTGTCCTTTTAGATTTTCTGGTCAGTTCTTTTACCTCCTCATTTCTTCCATTTGCTTTAACATCTCTATGCTGGAGAGCAAGTTTGAGAGGCTTTTCTGACATCTATTTTATTCTTTTCTCTCTTTCTTGTCTTCTTAATGACCTTTTGCTTTCTTCCTGTACAATGTTTTTGATGCCTTCCCACAACTCTTCTGGTCTTTTGTCTCTAGTGTATAATGCATCAAATCTGTTCTTGTGATATTTTTTAATTCAGCTGAGATATGTTCAAGGCCATGTTTTGACTCTTGTGTAGTTGTTTTAAGTTACTGTATGTTCAGCCTGAGCTTGCATATGAGTTATTGATAATTGATTCCAGTCTGTCCCTGGCCTTGTTTGGCTGATGATACTGAACTTTTTCACTGTCTCTTCCCACAGATTTAGTCAATTTGATTTCTGTGTATTCCATCTGGTAAGGTCCATGTGTATAGTGGCGTTTATGTTGTTTAACAAAGGTATTTGCAATGAATAAGCCATTTGTTTTTCAAAATTTTATGATGCAATCTCTGACGACATTTCTATTACCTAGGCCATATTTTCCAACTATTGATCCTTCCTCTTTGTTTGAAACCTTTGCATTCCAATCACCAGTAATTACCAGTCCATCTTAATTGCATGTTTTATCTGTTTCAGACTGAAGAAGTTGATCAAATTCTTCAATTTCATCATCACTATCTTTAGTGGTTAGTGCATAAATTTGAATTGTGGTGATATTAACTTGTCTTCCTCGTAGTCATATGGCTAGTATCCTGTCACAGACAGCTATGTACTTCAAGATGGATGTTGAAATGTTCTTATTGGTGATGAATGCGATTCCATTCCTCTTCAATCTGTCATTTCTGGCATAGCAAGCCATATGATTATCATATTCAAAATGGCCATTAGCAGTCCATTTCAGTTCACTGATGTCTAGGATAGCAATCTTTTTATGTGCTCCATTTCATTTTTTATAGTGTAAGATCTAATATTTAGGTCTTCAATCCATTTTGAGTTAATTTTTATGTATAGTATGAAGTATGGATGGGTTTCATTTTTCAAAAACAGACATCAAGTTTTGCTAGTGTTGCAGCAGTGCAAGTCAGAAAGAACTCAAACTTGAAAATCTTAAAGGCAAATTTTATTGCCAGCGGCCAGAGTGTCAGCTAAAGCCCTAACAACTGTGACCCCAAAGTGAGCAGGAAAACAGGGTTTTATACAAAAAAACACAGAGCAGTTAAAACAACAGACTTGTCTTGTCACCTGGGGTGGTAAATTCCAGCAGACCCTTTTCCTGTAAGTAGGAGTAAACCCATCAATAAACCCTTAGCTTGCTTGTATGGATGGGCTAAGTTTTTATCCTGTTTGTTCAGGTGTCCTTGGGTCATTCTGACCTTCGCAGTTTTTCTTAAGAAGTTTACTTATTATTTTTCCATAGGGTAGCCGGGGTGGGGGGTGCAGGGTGAGACGGGGCTGAAAGGACTTAGCGGATGCCTAGTTTAAATGAGGACTGTAGTCATGCTATAACACTAGCACTGTTAACTAAAGAGACTATCTTTTCCTCATATAATGCATTTCAGTGTTTGTCAGAGATCTGCTGTTCACTGGTGGATGGATTCGCTTCTTGGTTCTCATTCTGTTCCATTCATTGCTCCATGTGTCAGTTATTGTACCAGTACCAGGCTGTTTTGACTACCATGGTGTTATGATTGGGGAGCATAAGGCCTCCTTCTTTGTTTTCCTTTAGCAGTACTTTGAATATTTGGGGACTCTTTCCTTTCCATTTCAAGTTGGTGATTAAGTTTTCCATTTCATTAAAGAATGTTGCTGGAATTTGGATCAGGATTGTATTATATCTATCGATCCCTTTGGGTAGTATTGACATTTTTGCATTTTTGTCTTGGTATCTGTGAGTGTGATATGTTTTTCTGTTTATGTAGGTCTCTTGTTTTTTTGGCAGTAGACTTTTTTGGTTTTCTTTGTCTTTTATGCCCTATGACTCTACTTTTAACCTGTTTTGAGTAATCACTGAACTTTTCACAGCAGCTGCACCCACCAGCAGTTACAGCTTTCAAACTGGTCTGCTTGCCTCTGTTGTTGTTGTTGTTGCTTCAGCTCATAATGACCGTAATACACAACAGAATGAAACACTGCCTGGCCGTGCGTCATCCTCACAATTTTTGCTGTGCTTGAGTCCATTCTTGTTACCACTGTGTCATTCTATCTCATTGAGGGTCTTCTTTTTCGCTGATCCTCTGCTTTGCCAATATTGATGTCTTTTTCCACAGATTGGTCCTTCCTGACATCATATCCAAAGTATGAGAGACAACGTCTTGCCATCCTAGCTTTAAGGAACATTCTGACTGTACTTCTACCAAGACAGATTTGTTTGTTTTTCTGGCAATTCATGGTTCTTTGTCAAAACCATAATTCAAATGCATCAGTTCTTTGGTCTTCCTTTTTCATTGTCCAACTTTCATATGCATATGAGGTGATTGGAAATACCATGCCTTGGGTAAGGATACCTTAGTCCTCAAAGTGACATCTTAGCCTTTTAACACTTTAAAGAGGTGTTTTGCAGCAGATTGTTGTTGTTGTTGTTAAGTGCCATTGAGTCGGATCCGACCCATAGTTATCCTATGCAGGGTTTCCGAAGAGCGACTGGTGAGCTTGAACCACTGACCTTGCAGTTCAAATGGCGTTGCAGTCTGCTGCATTAACCCACAGTGCCTCACCAGGACTCCTTGCAACAGATTAGCCTAGTACAATATGTTGTTTTATTTCTTGACTATTGCTTCTATGGGTGTTGATTGTGAATCCAAGCAAAATGAAGTTGTTGACAACTTCATTCTTTTCTGCATTTATCACAATATTATTTATTGGTCCAGGTGTGAAGACTTTTGTTTTCATTGAGGTGCAATCTGTATTGATCTTCATCAGTATTTTAGTCCTCTTCACTTCTAGCAAGTGAGTTTGAACCATCTACATACCCTAGGTTGTTAATGAGTCTTCCTCAGTCCTGATGCCATGCTCTTCTTCATGTAATCCATTTTCTTGAATTATCTGTTCAGCATACAGATTGAATAAGTATGATGAAAGAATACAACCCTTATCCACACCTTTCCTGATTTTGAACCATTCAGTTCCCCCTTTTCTGTTCTAGTGACTGCCTCTTGGTCTATGTACAGGATCCTTGTGAGCATAATTATGTGGAATGTTCATTCTCCTCAATATTATCCATAGTTTGTTATGATCCATGGTCTAATGCCTGTTTCTAATCATTATTTTTTTCCATTGCATATTTAAACTGCAAGGTGAAAGCTTTGCTCTCCTGATACCCCTGTTTCCTACAGAGTGAAGTTCTGCTCTTCTGGCATGGCCCAGGGCCTCCAAGGGGCCTTAACCTACCTTTCCACCCTCTGAGACCAGCAGCGCTGGGCCTCCTTGTTTCCCCAGGAATTCTCTTGGCCTCCTGCCTCACCTGCCCTCCATTGTGGTGCTTTCCATTCCCTAAGGATCCAGTGCTGGCTCCTTCACATTCCTTAAGACAAGTAAAAACTCCAAACCCCTATAGGAAGACTAGCATCCTCTCTAGGGTTTTCAAGACTATATCTTTACAGAATCAGACAGCTTCATCTTTCTACCATATAGCAGCTGGTGGATTTGAATCACTAACCTTACAGTTATCAGCCCAATGCCTAAACCACAGCACCACCAGCTTTCCTTAAACCCTTGCTTATTGATGTTGTTAAGTGTTGTCAGGTCAGTTCCAACTCATAGTGACCCTGTATAGGGTTTCCAAGGAGTAACTGGTGGGTTTAAACCACCAACCTTATAGTTCAAACTGACTTTTTTGTCCAGTGTATTTTCCTGCAATGCTACACTAGGACTCCAAACCCTTTGGTATGCCCTTCTAAATGAATTGCTCTTCTTTAGATGTTGCCCATGATCTCACTTTACTTAATTTGGAGAAAAAAAAAAAAATTTATATGTCTCTTTCTCTGCTAAACAGTGAGCCTTGGGGAAGGAATTGGCCTGCCTTTTGTTCTGGACCCTCAGGCCCTGGTGCAGCATATATCAGGGCAGAGCTGACAGCCATCCAGGCAGTGTCTCACCAGCTAACTACCCATGTGACTTTCCCAGCTCCTTGGGTCTCTCTCAGTTTAACCTTCTTCCTTTAGGAGATTCGTGACCTAATACAACCTCCACCAGCAATGAGAAGTGACATAAAGCGACAGTGATGAGTCTCTGAACATGGTAAGATGTAGGCTTGCCTGTTTTGCTGGCATGACTGTTCCTTTGTGTTCCTTTAGTCTTGGGTGAGGGGCACTTTCTGGGATGGACTCTGAAGGCCTTCACTGTGGGCAGTCTTCTGTTGGGAGGACTATGGCTACATTTGAGGGATGGTGGTTTGTTTGTGCTTGTCCCTTGCCATAGGTGCTGGGGAGGTGACAGGTAGCAGGTTTTGATGGAATCTCTTATCTAACAGCTTCTTTCACTGGGTCAGGCTCCTGCCAGGCTGTGCACAGCCTCTGCTCCTTTGGCCTATACTCAGGACATACTCCTCCAGTAAACCAGCATGGTCCCAAAGACATGTGCTGGCCTTTAGTTTTCTTTTAGGTGATCATTTGTTCACTTCCCAATTTCTGAAAAGGTTGTAGCTTTTCAAAACAGAATAGATCATACTCTGAAGGAGAGCTATAGCAATTTCTAGGTTGTTGAAAAGACAGGGCCATCTCAACTAGCAACATCTCAAAAGCAATTACTTATTCTCTCCTCTCTCCCTCTAGATTCGAATCGCAGCCTTGAATGCCAGTTCTACAGTTGAGGATGATCATGAAGGAAGCTTTAAAAGTCATAAAACCCAGACAAAGGAAGCTCAGGTGTGTAACTCATGTTCTTCATCTGCAGGCAGACTGTGCTTCTAATCTCCATGTGGTTAAGTGCCATCAAGTTGGTCCTGACTCATAGTGATGCTGTATAGAGTTTCCAAGAGTGACTGGTGGGTTTGAACCACTGACATTGCAGTCCAGTGCTTATCCAACAGCACCAAATCACTAATCTTCATAGGCGGAATCTTAATCGTCTATTTTTTATTGAAAATATATACAAGAAAACAGACCCCACTTCAATATTTTCTACATACACAGTTCAGTGAGGTTGGTTATATTCTGCAAATTGTGCTACCATCCTTGACAGCCTTTTCCATACTGTTTCATCATCACTGACACAAACTTAACTCGGTCCATCCAACCTTTCATGTTGCTGTTATCAGTTTGATCACATGTAGATCATTCTGTAAAAAAGGATATTGCCATGATGAAATGAGTTCCTCTATGTGATGTTTTGTCATGGTTCTTTGGATAAACAGCTTGAAATTTCCCCATAAGGGAAAAATTTGCCCTAGTTTTCTACCTCAGAGGGTTTGTTACTTTTTTCCAGGTTGATTGATGTTTCCTGGGTAAGCTGTACAGAATTTGTGTGTTTGATTTTTTTCAGTAGCTAAAACATAGGGACTTTATTATTTCAAACATAGGCACATGTTTTCGTGGGGCAGCAGAAGGCAGCTCTGGGGCCATTGTGGTCCTGCAGAGATGTAGTGTAGACTACTAGCATCTTCATGTTCTGCACACCATGTTGCAGTGCCTGTTTAAGGCCGTCAAGTGACCCAGCTGAATCTTGTTGCAACAGTTGATGAGCACTTTGTTGTTCTTGACCAACTGCATGAGCACAGAGACCCCATGTTAAGCTTCTCTTCTCCCTCTTCTGCAGCTCTTCCAGGGTCATCTCACTTTTGTACTTATTAAGGAGGCTTATGGTGCTGGCTGCATTCTCAGGTCACTCTGATGTTCTCTGAGTTCCTTCTGCCTCTGAAGGGAAAAACAGGACTCCACAACTTGTGGTTTGATGCTTTTAGTTTGGGCTTGGGCTGCAGCATGCTCTGTGATTGGTCTGATTTGTGCATCTTGCAGGGATTGGTTAGTATACCTGTACAAATGACTTTTCTGCAGCCTACTGAGAGGAGTTTGTTCATTACTTAGCCCTAGTGGGAGGAGAATCAAACTCAAAATCAGCCCAGAATGAATTCAGACATGCCTCTATCCTTCAACCTTCTTTATCCTATTCTGACATCAACCATCTCTCCCAAAGCCCTCCTACTTCTCTGCTGGGTTCAGTAATCTGTTGCAATGGCCACACAGAACTTACAGGCAATATTTATGCTTATGGGATCTCTTAAGGGTATGAACAGAGTACAATTTAGAGTCTGAAACACCTTAGGATACAGCAGTTTTTTGGTCAGGAGCACCTCTCCTTAGCTCAGCGATACTGCAGGTTCTCATCTTTAGCTTTTCAGCCACGTAGTCCTTGATCTCTGCCCTGCTTCAGCAAGTGTTGCAAAGTTCCTTTAGCCAGTCTATAAATGCCCAAAGGGCACCTAATTCCGCAAGCTAGCCTCCTGCCCAAAGGCACTCAACTTTATTCAGTCCTTGGCCAGGAAACCCACTGCTGTCTCTGTGTCACTGCCTCTTCTGCCCTGCTTTTCTAGGCAGGGAACTTGTGCTTTGTGACTTTTCTTTCTTGATGGTTCTGGCATTGTTTGCTTCTGAGATGGTGACTTTTAAACCTAATGGAATGGCAAAATGAACCAATCCCTGTGTTAGAATCCTGTGTACCATATTTGCATGATCCCATTCAGTTGTTTGGCGGGAGTTACAAAGTTGTTGTGTGCTCTCAATTTACTTCAGGATTAAAACAACTCTGTAAGGAGATCTGATCACGTAGTGGTTACCAATTGGGCTGTGAACCTTAAGGTCCACAGTTTGAAACTACCAGCCGTTCCATGGGAGAAAGATGAGGCTTTCTGCTCCCATAAAGATTCACAGCCTCGGAAACCCTATACAGGGTCACTATGAGTCGGAACCGATTCCACGGCACACAACATCAACAGCAACATAGGGTTTCTGACGCTGTAAATCTTTGTGGGAGCAGAAAGCCTCAACTTTCTTCCATAGAGCGACTGGTTGGCTCCAACTGCTGTCCTTGTGGTTTGCAGTCCAGTGTTTATCCTAGAGAGCCACCCTGCTCCCCTTCTATGGTGGTGGTTTTGTTAAGTGCTGTTGAGTTGGTTTTGACTCATAGTGACCATGTATAGTGTTTCCAAGGAACAGCTAGTAAATTTGAGCTGCTTACCTTGTGGCTATTAGTCCATTGTTTATCTGACAGCATAGCACCAGGACTCCCTTACTATGGTACATGAGCCTGTACAGGGTTTCCAAGGAGTATCTGGTAGGTTTGAACCATTGACCTTGCAGTCCAGCACATTATGCTGTAGCACTACACAGCAGATCTGCCCAATGTTCAGTGGCATTTGATTTCTTAACTGCTGCCTCCGTGAGAGTTGATTGTGGATCCAAGTAAAATTAAGTTCTTGACAATTTTGATCTTTTCTCTGTTAGATGTTTTTGGTCCAGTGTGAGGATATTTGATTCTTAACATTGAGTTGTAATCTATCTTGAAGGCTGTAGTGTTTGATCTTCATTAGCAAGTGCTTCAAGTCTACTTTGCTTTCAGCAAACAAGGTTGTATTGTCTGTATATTTCGAGTTGTCAGTGAGCCTTCCTCCATTCCTGATGCCACATACTTCTTCATGTAGTCCAGCTTCTTGGATTATTTGCTCAGCATGCAGATTAAATAAGTCTGGTAAAAGGATACAACTCTGATGTACACCTTTCCTAATTTAAACCATTCAGTATGTCCTTATTTAGTTCAAACTACTGTGTCGTGGCCTACATGCAGGTTCTTCGTGAGCACAATTAAGTGTTCTGGAATTTCCATTCTTTGAAATGTTATTAATAGTTTGTTGTGAGCCACATAATTGAATGCCTTTGTATAGTCAATATAACACAAGTAAGCATCTTTATGCAGTTTCATTTTTAATGACTTCCAATTTTCCTGAAGTCATACTTTATTACCTTCTACATTCTGATTATTATTGGATGTTCGCAGCTGTTTCTTCTCATTTTGAAACTTGTTCCATCAGCAAATGAAGGCCCTAAAACTTTGCTCTGTTCATGTGTAAATAGATGACTGGGTTGTTGCTAAGTGCCTTCGAGTCAGTTCTGATTCATAGTGACCCTGTATAGGGTTTCCAAGGAGCAGCTGGTGAATTTGAACTGCCGACCTTGCAGTTCAAACCTACCTTGTGGTCCAATGCATTATCTCACAGTGCCATGCCATGACTCTGGATAACTGGGAAGGACTATGTAAATGGCAGGTGTTTGTGGCCTCCCAGGGGACTGGATAGCTTGCTAAGAACATAAATAAGGTACATGGCACCCTTGGGGTGGTACAGTGTTAATAGGATGTATATAACCTTTATGAAGTAATTGGTTAGTTTTGTCATTCTGCTGGGCTTAAAATGAACCATCTCAGAAACAGAAAGGAAGATCTCACTTTCATCAAGACAGAAGAGCTAAGAATGGAGCCTGCCCTTTGGACTCAGAGATTCCTGCTCTGAACCTTCTTTATCTAGGAGACTAAGAGCTGACACTAGAGACAGCAAGAGACAGTGAGAAGCAACAGGAGACTGAGTGGTGGGTATCCAGGATTATGGAGTGGAAAAGCTGAGTGGCTTCAGGCAGAAAGCTTACTGGCTGAGTGGTTGTGTCTCTGGGCACTTTATCAGAAGAACTAAATTTGCTAATTCATGCTTAGATCTAGAGGTGAGTACTTTCAGGCTGAGGCTTACAGGCAGAGTGGGCATTTATCAGCAGGGTTAAAAGACCTTTATAACACTTGCGTGAGTAGGGCAGAAGTCAAGGGGCTACGTGGCTGAGAGATTGAGAGCTGGAGAGAGCTGTACCGCTGAGCATGATTGAGAGGAAGCTGTTCCCATCCAAGAACCGTGTTCTGAGTGTTTCTGATCCTGAAATGTAACTTAAGCTTGCTTCCCTAATAAACCCTGTAACTGTGAATATTGTCTGTGAGTTTTGTGTGGCCGCTACAGTGGGTTATTGAACTCGGCAGAGAAGCAAAGTGTGCCATGGGAGGAACAGTTGGTGTCAGAATTGGTAAAAAGTTAGAAGGGTGGAGGCTTGTTTGACCCCCACCCTTATAGGAATAAGCCTTAGGCTGGATGGTAACTGGGATTCTCTTCCTTCCCCTGGTGAAGTTAGGAGGTCTGACACTGTTCCCATTCCATTGTTAACACTGCCCAATGGAGTTCTAGGGGAAACCCCATTTTGTAAGCAGACTGTCTCTACATCTTCACATGGGTGATGGTCACAAACGGAAGAGAAGCTACATTGATTTTGCGAGGGTGTGTGAGGCCAGCATGGCCCTGGTCTTCTACCCCGGTGCAGCTCATTCTTTGTGCAGACCTTGGGAATTGGTGCTTCTGGCAGTGGTAGAATGCCAGTACTTCGAGGTTCAGTTGTCTTCTCTAAGTTTCACTGTGGTGAAGCCCTTGAAGGATGCTGCCTTGTCGGGGAGCTTGCTAACGGGACAGTGGGCAGCCAGGCTCAGCCCAGGCTCTGTAGATTCCCGGTCTGTCCTCTGCTATAAGGCTTGGCTTCTCCTTCCCTCACCCATGACCTACTCTGGTATAAGGGGGCTTTTCTTGTCCCTGAGTAGCCATATCTCCCTCTCTGTGGGATAAACCAGGACATTTCCGTGTCCCTCTCAAAAATTTCCATACGATAAGCACTGGACTGTGAACCACAAGGTCCGTGGTTCAAGTCTGATAGCCACTCCACAGGAGAAAGAACAGGCTTTCTGCTCCCTTAAAGATGTAAAGCCTTAGAAGCCCTATGTGAGGTTGCTAAGAGTTGAAACCGATGCAACAGCACTTAACAACAACTCAGAAATCTGCTGGTCAGCTGTCCCCTGTCTGCAAGGGCACTTGGCCTTCTTAATGCCTCTTCTTCCTCAGAAGGGGCTCTGGTCTTCCCTGGGAGTGACCTGGCTTGGATGAAGAGGTGGATAAAAAGCAGCAGAGACCTGCATGCTCTCCATTCTCTGGGTTCTTCTGGTGTGGTATGGCCACCTTCCTGGCTTCCCCCTGATGGACCCGCCCAGTTCCTCCCTGGCTGTGCTCAGACTCTGTGCCTTGGGCCCCTGTGCCCTCGTTTCTTTCTCAGACTCAGCTGGGCCTGTATCACATGTATCCTTGGGGTGGCTTATGAGTGTTTCACTTAGTTCCCCACCAGGGTTCCTATAGAGGTACAGCTGACTCTAAACACAGCTATTTTGGCGCAAACTTATTGTACTGTGTGAACATGTCTCCCATCTTGGTTTGCAGGAAGCAGAGGCCTTTGCCTTGTACCACAAGGCCCTGGATCTGCAGAAACATGACCAATTTGAAGAGTCAGCCAGAGCCTACCATGAGCTTCTCGAGGCACGTCTACTGCGGGAGGTGAGGTGCTGGCCACTGGCTTGGTGTGCGGGCCAGGCGACTGGTCTCTGACCTCTGTTCTCTGACTTGTTAACCTGGAGCACGTTAGTTTGCCTCTGTACTCAATCTCCACCCTGTAATGAAGTGTCCTCCTTACCATGCCATGGTGAGGCCTGAGCAGGCAAAGAGCAAAGCTGGCCATGGGGGTCGGCTATATGAGTGCTCAGGAAGTGCCAGCCATAATCATACCGACATTACTTACCCTTCACAGCTGTTCCACCCGGGCCTGGGGAGGTGTTCCCACTTACAGATATATAAGCTGAGGCTCAGTGAAGTGCTGCTGGCTCAGAGCCACCAGCCCTCAGGGATGCAGCCACAGCCGTCTGACACTTCATGAGGCTAGTGACGGTGTGTTCTGAAAGATGCTGTGGGAGCTTGTGAAGGGAGTCAAGAGGTCATTGGTGAAAGCTACTCCGAGCTAGAGGGGTCCTCTAGGAGTACCTAGGACAGTGCCTTCACTTCCCAGTGGAGGTGGCCTGGCCCGAGAGGTGGCCTGGCCCGAGGGCCTATGGCAGAGGCAACCCAGAGCCAGGTGTCCTGCTGACCACTGCACAGTTCCTTCTGCCCCTTGTTTACTCTGTTCACAGGCGGTTTCATCAGGTGATGAGAAAGAGGGTCTGAAGCACCCCGGGCTGATTCTGAAGTACTCCACCTATAAGAACCTTGCCCAGCTAGCTGCCCAGCGAGAAGACCTGGAGACTGCCATGGAGTTCTACCTAGAGGTGTGCTTCCATGGCACCCATAGCTGAGGGGCTGGGATATGGTCACAAAGTATACAAACAGGTGATGGGATACGGGAGGAGTTAGGCTGCTGACTGTGTGGGAATACTGCCATCTCGCAGGGCACTTGTGACCCTCAGTCAGGTATTGAATCTCTGGGAGCCACTGGATGTACACCAGTAGAGTGGGAGTAATAAATACGAAAGTTGATGCACACGAAAGAACCTATGACACATGGTCCTGTGCACATTGCTGTTACAGGAGTGCTACCATTGTTTCACCTCGCACTGTCACCATTTCTCTGGGCTTCTGTTAGGTGGCTACTACTCTGCCAATGACTTTGCATGTACACTCTGATCCTTACAGTATCCAAAGAGCTGCCTTCAGCCTTGTGTTCTTGTTAGGTGCCATCAAGTCGGTTCTGACTCAGCAACCCCATGTAAAACAGAACCAAACAGTGCTCAGTCCTGCGCCATCCTCACCCTTGTTGCTGTGTCTGAGCATGTTGGTGCAGCCACTGTGTCAGTCCTTGGGGGTTGTCTTCTCTTTTGCTGACCTGCATTACCAAACATGATAGCCTTCTCCAGATACTGGTCCCTCCTGATCACGTGTCCAAAGGGATGAGGAAACTGAGACTCAGGACCATGCTGCCAAGACATGCCTGAGCAAGGTTCTGAAACTCGGCCCTTTGTTAAAATAGAGTCTTTCTAAAACCCTAAGCTTCGTCTTTCATACTGTGGACATATTGTCAGGAGAGAACAATCGCTGGAAAAGGATGTCATGCTGGGTAAGATGGAGGGCCAGAGAAAAAGAGGAAGACCCCCAACAAGATGGATCAGCCAGGTGGCATCATTGATGGCATCAAGTGTGGCAGCGGTGGTAGGATTGGCCCAGGATCGGACATTGTTTCGTTATGCTGTGCATGGGATCGCTATGAGTTGGTTCTCACTGAATGGCACCTGACAACAACAACAAAACCCCACAAGACTCCAGGTTTCTCCCATATTACCCTTTCTACTTCTTTCCCTCCAATTGTGTAAGGATTACCAATGTTCAAATTGACAGCGAGCATTATGACAGTGTTCAGAGTAAAATAAGTGGGTTTATGTCACTGTCTGGCTGAGTTTCTCTGGGTCTGGGAGCAGGTCTGACTCCAGGGAGGATGAGGAGGCCTGGCCAGGCAGTTATGAGCAGCTCAGGTGCCGTGAGTGGTTGGGCTTCTGGCCCAGTGGGGATTCCACTGGCTGTGTGCCCTCTCTTGTGTTCTCACAGGCTGTGATGTTGGACTCCACCGACGTCAACCTCTGGTACAAAATTGGGCACGTGGCCTTGAGGCTCATCCGCGTGCCCCTGGCCCGCCATGCTTTTGAGGAAGGACTGAGGTGCAACGCGGACCACTGGCCCTGCCTGGACAACCTCATCACCATCCTGTATGCCCTCAGTGATTACACAAGTGAGTTTGACTTCGGTGGTGCCTGCTGTGTGCCCATGTCTTGGAGCTAGTTAGAGGTGTGTATGGCTTGGGAAAGTGTGAAGCCTCTGTGAGGACAGGGCTTTCTGTCAGCTGTTGGGGGGCAGTGATGTGTCAAGTCTCTCTCCTCTCTCTCTTCCTTGAGATTTCTCAGGTACTTGTTAGTGACAAGGAACGTATTCTCAGAGTGACTTCCCCTTTGTTAATTTCATTCCATCCCATGTTGTCCTGCCCTAGGCCAGGCCATATATGGCCGTATTCTCCATGTTGACAAGGTAGTGCAAGCACTGCAGCTGGAAGTCTCCTCCATGGGACTTCAGAACTGGTGGAAAGGGCTATTCCAAATGGAATCCCAGGCTGCTTCTATGTGGCAGTTTGCTGGGCTGGGCTGGGCTGGGCTGGAGTTTTGCCAATGCCTCATAGACTGCACTGAGCACCCTGATCTGGACAGCTAGTCTCACTTTGACCCGTGCTTCTACGACACCTGGGGAGCTGTTCCTGCCTCTCTCCTACGTACCTTGTGCTGATTTGGCTCCCTTCTCCATCTTGTTCCTGACCTCTGGTGCTGTAAAGTGAACAGACTTGATAGTGGGCAAGTAAGAGACTTGTGCTAGCCCTTCCCACATCCACACACACATAGAACAGACCCTGGTGCATGTGACGGAGGAGAGATGTGTACAGTCCTCCCACGTCCCCACACACAGACCCAGCGCGGGTATGCCCTTGACTGTCCATACTCATGCGTGAGACTTGGTAATGCGAGTCTGGAGTGACCCCTGCCGTCATGTGGGTGCAGATGCTTCCCACTGTGGGTGTCATTAGCTCAGCCCGGAATCCATGCCATACCACTCCTTTTAGAAGTAAGCTGTGCCGTGCCTTGGTTTGCCTGTGACTATCTCCATAGTTGCAGAAGACAGAGGGAGCTTCCCAGAGCATTGAAGTTAAAAGGCTCAACATTGTACCGACCCATATAATGACCAAATAATGTGCATGTCTTAAATTTAAAGCAGTGACTTTTCTGAAAGGACGGTTAAAAAAAATTCCCTAGTGCAAATAGGAAAGTTAGAAAACACAGGTAAACAGAGAAGGAAGCACTTGTGTGCACACAGAGAAGATCCTGTGGTCGTGTCCCTAGCCAGGCTGCTGGTTGGGAAGCACATGCCCTGGTGCCTGTGCAGCCCACTGTCTGCATCCCAGCCCCATGGTGGGGCTCCAAAGTGGCTGCCAGAATTTTTTGAAGCCCATTTTCTAATTAGTCAGTTGTCACTGGTTCCACAAGTGAAGTGGGATTGTGGGACCAAGTGTCTGTGTGACCCCACGGTGCACAGCTCTCCCCATCGACTGCACTCAGCTCTGCTCTGAACAGTCCTCATCTGCTCAGGGCCTAATGCTTTCCAACACAGTTCCCAGTGTAGAGCTTATAAAGTGGTTTTGCTCTCCTGTGTACTGTGTATTGTCTGGACCCTGCCAGGTCTGGAAGCACATCCCTAGTAGGGACTATACTGCTTGGCAGGCTTGGAGTCCTAACTTAGTCTCCTTCCAGCGTGTCTGTACTTCATCTGCAAAGCCCTGGAGAAAGATTGCCGCTATAGCAAGGGGCTGGTCCTCAAGGAGAAGATCTTCGAGGAGCAGCCTTGTCTCCGGAAGGACTCGCTGCGCATGTTCCTCAGATGGTACGGAGTCCTGCTTCTCTTGGCTCCCATGTGGCTGGTGAACATCCGAGCCGTGAGCAGCTCTCCATTTCTGAGTCCCCCTGTGTTCTGGACCTCACCTCTGCTAGTGGAGTCCCCCTGTGTTCTGGACCTCACCTCTGCTGCATCACTCATCCAGTGGGCTTGTTTGGAGCCTGTATGTTTGCCACTCAGCTGGGGGCCCTGTCCTGTCTTCTCAGTGCCCTGCAGGCTCACTGCTGCCTTCTCCACAAGCTCTCTAGGCTGCCTCTGCTGCCTACTGCTTGCCTGACCTCCCGGAAGCTTGCTGCTCTCTTTCCCAGGTCCTGCCCCCGTGTCGCCTGAGCTTTTTCCATGTGTTGCTCAGTCTGCCTCTGCAGCCTGGTCCTCTTGACTCTTCTCTGCCCTCCCAGCTTCCCCCAGCCTCCATTGTCCTGCCCTGCCTCCCAGACCCTTCCATAGTATCCCATTGTTCTCCTGCTCTGCCCTCCCAACTACCCCCGCCAGTCCTCCATTGTCCCCTGCTCTGCTTTCCTGGCTCCCCTCTGGTTCCCTCATTGTCTTCCTGTTCTATCTTCCCAACCCTCCCACAGTCCTTGCCTTATTCCCTGTCCTCTGTCCTCCCAGGCTCCCCCATGGTTCTCCTACAATCCCCACATTTTCCTCCTGCTCTGCCCATCCAACATCACCTACTTGTTCACATTGTCCCTCTTGCACTGCCCACAGTCTCTCTCCCAGCTCCTGGGGTGACATGAAGCTTCTTACAGGTTCTGGGCCTGGCTCTCATTGTGCCCTCATCTGGGATGTTCTTTTCCAGTCTCTGCCAATCCTGCCATTGTTTCTTCCCTGTCAGCTCAGGGTCACCTCTGTAGCTCTCCTGGCTCTCATCCCACCCCCGCCCCTACCTCAAGGAATCAGCCCTCCCTGCCCTTGGTGTCTCCTCAGCCCCTGGAGCTCCCTGCCATTAGGAGTTCTGGGGTTATTTATTTGGATGACCATACCTCTTGTTCACATCTGTCCTGAGAGAACAGACCTGGGGTGGTAGATGACAAGCACAGAAAGACACATTGTGTGGAGTGTTCTGGAGTGGCCTGCAAGATAAACAGAACAGGAGGCTAGTGTGGCTTTAGCGTGTAATGTAATTCCTCCCTGTGTGTCATGCTTCTAGTGACATGTCAATCCATGAGGCATCTGTAAGCAAGGCTGAGGCTCAGGCCATTGTGGATGAGGCCCTGGGGCTGCGGAAGAGGAGGCAGGCGCTGACTGTACGAGAGAAGGTGCCAGACCTGAAGCTAGTGCAACCCATCCCATTCTTCACGTAGGTCCTGAGTCCTGGGAAGGCCCTGCCCGGGCTTGACCCAGGAGTGGTGATGTGTGCATGCACCGTGGGGAGTGCTTGTGGGGAGTGCTTGCACTTGTTACCATAATGGCATGGGGTCACTTCCTGTCTGAACCTGGGTCCTTAACCAGTTGAGGATTTATTGAGGAGAAAAGGGGCTGTGGTAACGTTGGCTGTGAGGTGCCTTCACATTTACTCTAGGTACAGGGCGTGAGACCAGGCGGAAATGTGAGAGAATTAGGTTAGACCAAAGGAGGTGGTGCTTAGTCATTAAGCATGGAACGGGGTTATTAAAGGTGATTCTGTTAGGCATTGAACTGCTGAGCCTTAGATCAGTGGTTCGAACTTACCACCAGTTCCATGTGAGAAAGATGACACCTTTGGCAGTCTCGGGAACCCTAGGGAGCGGTTCTACCCTGTCATACAGGGTCGCTATGAGTTGGAATTGACTTTACAGAGTGGGTTTGTGTAGCAAGATTCTCACTGTGGCATCAAGATCGCACCTCTTCCATGGGTCAGCACACAGCACCTGTAGCACTGCAGGCTTGGCTACAGCCACTCTCCACTGCGTTCTCTCAACTCCAGCCACAGCTGAATGTCCCCTGTCTGCTCAATGGCCACTGGACCTGAGCTGTATGCCATACTGGTTTAGTGTTCTTGTTGTATGTACATCTTGTATGTACTCTTAGACCCAAGACCAATGTTGAGGGCACCACGGCCAAACCCTGACTCAGGCTACCCCATGAAGAAGGTGGTCATGGTGGTAGGGTAGTGCTGTGTTCGTGCCATACCATGACATTGCCTTACCTTGCAGCTGGAAGTGCCTTGGTGAGAGCCTGCTCACCATGTACAACCACCTCACCACCTGTGAGCCCCCTCGGCCCAGCCTTGGGAAGAGGATCGACCTGTCCGACTACCAGGACCCCGCCCTGCAGCTGGCCTCCTGTGTGGAGGTGCCACCCGTCAGCATGGTCCAGCCGAACCTCGTCAGTACATCCCCGGCTGGTGCTGTGGTGGAACCTGTGCTTGCTTACACCCCTGTGGTTGCTGCCAGCTTTCCACGCCATAGCCCCAGCCTGCTGGAGACCAGCCTGCCTGGGGGTGAGCAGCCTTTTGTCATAAGTATAGGGGGTCTGTTTGCAGCCTAGGAGAATGAGAGTGGAGGCACCCAGCCCCACCAGGGACAGGGGCCCACTGATCCTCACAGCCTCTCAGCCTAAGGGCTGCAGCCCCATGGGCCCTGATGCAAGTCTCAGTGTGTCTCTTCTTGGACCATTCTGAGGTATGAGTGGGCAGGCTTCCCTTGGGGGCCCTGCAGTGTGCTCATAGTCCAGCACATTCCAGAATGCCAGCAGGCGCTCACCGTGTCTTTCTTGCCCAAAGGAGGGAAAGGGTTTTTCAAAATTCCCATCTCAGTTCTTTGGCTTTCAAAAACAATTCTCAGTGAAGTTATCTGATGTGGTATGCTTTTTGGTTTTGCTGACTTTTTTGAAAGTTATCTAAAATTTTAGGCCAAAGCTCCCAGGCCTACTTTTGTGATTTCTGTATCTCTGGTAGTGTAGTGGTTAAGAGTTGGGCTGCTAACCACAAGGTCAGCAGTTCTAAACTACCAGTCGTTCTGAGGAAATGAGGCTTTCTACTCCTGTAAAGATTTACAGTCTCAGAAACCTGATACAGGGTTGCTGTGAGTCAGAATCAACTCCATGGGACATCACCATTACCATGACTACAAAAAGCAGTGTCTAGCAATTGAGCCCTGGTAGCACTGTAGGATAAGCACTGGATGCATTACAAATCCATCAGCCACTGCGTAGGAGCAAGCTGAGGCTGGCTGTTCCTCTAAAGGTTCACAGTTTCGGAAACCCTATATAGGGCACTATGAGTTGGAATGAACTCCAAGACAGTGGGATGGGTCGGAGCAGTTGAAGTTTCTGCTAATTGCTGTTGAGCTTGAGCTGGCAGCTCTGAGGTTGGCGGTGGTAACAGGGAGGTGTTTCACTTAAGAACTCATGTGAATGTTATAAACGAGAGAGCCTCCCACCCCGTGTTGTTGTTATGTGCTTTGCATTTGGTCCCTACGCATAGTGATTCTGTATAGGGTTTCTGAGAGAGCAAAAAACCTCATCTTTCTTCCATTGAGTGGCTGATGGTCTCGTAGAGTTGATCTTGTGGTTTGCCATTCTGTGCTTATCCTACAGAGCCACCACATTTCCTCTGTCCCCCTGTAAGTTGTTCCTTTGTGCTCCTTGAAGGTGATGCTTCTGGGAGTGACAGGTCCAAGAAGGGTATGAAGCGGAAGAAGACAGCAGAGGAGAGTGGGGAGACAGCAAAGCGGCGCTCAGCCCGCGTCCGCAACACCAAGTGCAAGAAGGAGGAGAAGGTAGACTTCCAGGAGTTGCTGGTGAAGTTCCTACCGTCCAGGTATGTGCACTTGCTTCGGTGCTTAGAGAAGAGAACCAACCAGGATGTCTGCTTAACTGAGGCTTCCCCTAGCACCCCCAGTTCCCTCACCCTCACATTCCCCACCCTCACTTTTCCCCACCCTTCCACAGTTCCTTGCTCCCCCATTCCCCACTCTCCCCAGTTTCCTTGCCTCCACAGTTCCCCTGCCCCCATAGCTTTTCCACCCCCTCCTCAGTTCCCTACTCCCCCAATTCTCCATGCTCCACAGTTCTCCCCTCCCAGTTTCCTTGCCCCCAGTTCCTCCACCCCCATAGTTTTTCCTGCCCCTCCACAGTTCCCCACTACTCCTAGTTCTCCATGCCCCGTAATTCTCCTCACCCTCTCTACCTCTCCTCTAGTTCCCTGCCCTCAGAGGTCCCTTGCCTCCCCAGTTCCCTCAACCCCAGTCCCCCTCCACAGTTCTCCTACCTCCACATTTCCTGCCATTCACAGTTCTTCATGCCCCCTCCAAGTTCTCTACTCCCCCCAGTTCCCTAACCCCTTCCAGCTCTCCCAGTTGAAGTTTCCAAACCCCTAGTTCCTCTGCTCCATACAATTCCATGCCACCTAGTTCCCCAACCCCGCCCCCGCTTTCTACTTCCCCAGTTCTCTGTGTCTCATAGTTCCCTCACTTCTTCCAGCTCCTCCCCACAGTTCCCCACACCGTCCTTTCCCCTGTGCCCCCAGTTCCCCACTGCACAGTTCCCCATGGTCTCCCGCTTACCCTGTCCCATCCTCATTAGTGGGTGGCAGTTCCATTTCCACTGGCCTGGCAGCCCTCTGTCGTCTGAAATTGGTGGGTGTGGTTCCTGTCTGCAGGGTGTGCTCCCTCTTCCCCCTATGTCTTGGTTGGTTTAACCCTCTCATCTCTTACTGCTGCTGGAGGGCATTCTCACCCATAAGGCTCAGCTGTAGGTCTGTTACATCAAACTGTCCTGTGAATGTTTGTTTCTGGGGTAACACCACCCTGGCAGAGAAGGAGTGAGAGCTCTAGGTGGATGGTACATCTGTCTGTCATTAAGACCACACATAGCCTTTCTTTCTGTGGGGAAAGTGAATGTATAGGAGTCAAGGTGGTTTTCGGCAAATCTGTGATGAGGGACCAAGAAGGAGGCTAAAACACCTCTGACAAGTAGCCATGTGGCTCGTTCCCATTCCCCTGCTTCTTTCTTGCTGGCTGGGCCCCCTTAGGCCCTGGACTCAGTAGGTGGTCTTCTGACTTGTGTCCTCTGTACCTATTCTTGGTCAGCTTGCCTAGGGTTCTGCCATGTTGCCTGACAAGCAGCACTGCCCTCACTAGGGGGCCAGTGCACCCTCAGACCGCTCACTCACAGTGCTCTTTTTTTTCCATGCGGATTTCATTGCTCCAGTAGGAAGTCCTCAGCTCCAGGCATCTGAGTGTGTACTGTGGCTCTTATGACCTGCCCTGTCTCCCACAGGCTGAGGAAACTGGACCCCGAGGAGGAGGATGGCCACTTCAACAGTTATGACGTCCAGTCAGAGGTCAAGCCGGAGCAGTGTTCGAGTATGGGACCACATAGACTGTCCTTCGACTCGGCCACATTCATGGAATCTGGTAGGAAGTCCCTGGTGCTTGCTCACTTGGACTACTTCCTCCTGTCATCTCACAGCCTCATGCTCTTGGGTTCCTTTTCTTTTTTTTTTTTTAACTTTTTATTGTGAATTGGGTGAAGGTTTACAGAGCAGATAATCAGTTTCATATTCAAAAAATCATATACTTTGCTTACATGGTTGCAATCCAGGTGCCACCAGTTAACAACATTTACCTCTATTCATTTAAGCTATTGCATTCCTCAGTGTCTTCTGCTCTACCTTCATCTTTCCTCTGCTAACCTCCCTCTTTCTGTATATTGCCTGCTCTGTCAACCATGTTAACATGAGCCCATGAGTAACCCACCTCCCACCCCCACCGTAACCATCATAGATTGTTCCTTTAACAAGAATACTTTTTTTTTTCAATGTTTTATAGCATTGGTGGTGTCATCCAGTGTCCTTTTGTGGTTGAGTAATTTCAGCATAATGTTCTTCAGGTTCAACCATGTTGTGAGGTGTGTTTAACAGATTCATCATTGTTCTTCACTCTTTTTAGTGTTCCATTGTGTGTATGTACCAAAGTTTATTTAACCATTCTTCTGTCACACTGTCACTGTCTCCATCTTTCTTTTAAAAAAGGCTTTTTGTATTTTGTTTCATTGAAATGATTACAATCCCCTCCATGTATCATCGGTTAACAGTATTTGCTTCTATTCCCTCTTTTTATTTTTATGTACACAAAAGCATGCAGGAACATATAATAGTTTAAACAAATAGAGGGTACAATCTGCAAGCCTGCCTCCTGGCCACCAGCACACAACTTTTCTCTTTCCATGAGTCTAGAGTCTTTAGCTGCTCTATCTCTCCATATCCTCATCTCTGTATCCATCTCTAGTGTCACTGCTTCTCTGGTTAGGGTCCTATACTCTGCTCATGCTCTTCTCTCTTGATGGTCCTAGGGTCCTCTTTTCCTGGAATATTAGATTAACTACTCTTAACTTTTTGTTACACAACTTATACCTTTACAGTTGTGACAATTGCAATTAGTCATGATAGTAATTACTCACTATTGAATCAAATGAATCCTATCCCCATCTCCTTTCACCAGACCCATCTAGACAGAGATGAAAACTATACAGTGGAGATTCTACCTTCCCCTGCACATTCTGAAACTAAACTTTCTCTTGAAAACTTGTAAGCCAGCCACTTCATGCTTTTATAGAATCCCCTCCACCCATTTTAGGTAGCCAGTGTCTAAATTGCACATCCTTATCAACCTGTATACAGAGGGGATAGGTTTGATTCTTGATGTGAAGACTCCTTCCATAACAGTTGGTATTTTGAGCTACTTATATCTCAAAAGATTGAAGTTGTCAAGGACTTCATTCTTCTTGGATCAACTATCAACACTCATGGAAGCATCAATGAAGAAATCAAACGACATATTGCAATAGGCAAATCTGCTGTACAAGGCCTCTTTAAAGAGTTGAAGAGCAAAGATGTCAGCTTGAAGACTAAGGTGCACCTGACCCAAGCCATGGTATTTTCAGTAACCTCATATGCATGCAAAAGCTGGACAATGAATAAGGAAGACCATAGAAGAATTGATGCTTTTGAGTTATGGTGTTGAAGGAGAATATCAAAAGTGCCGTAGGCTGCCAAAAGAACCAACAGATCCGTGTTGAAGAAGTATAGCCAGAGTGCTCTTTGGAGGCCCTAACCCCTTCCAGCTTTGGAAGCCAGGATGACCAAATTTTGTCTCTCATACTTCGGACATATTGTCAGGAGGGACTAATCTCTAGAGAAGGATATCATGTTTGGAAAGGTGGAGGGTCAGAGAAAAAGAGGAAGACCCCCAACGAGATGGATTGGGCAAGTAGCAGCATCGAAGGACTCAAGCGTGGCAACAATAGTGAGGTTGGCCCAGGATTGGGTAGTGCTTCATTCTGCTGTACATGAGGTTGCTATGAGTCAGTACCGACTCGATGCACCTAACAACAACAACAACAACAACATCAATAAGTACAGTGTAAATTGTAGCAATTTACACTTCCTTTATTAAATTTCTGTATGTTCCTCTAGTTGAGTTCTGATCACCAAGCCATTGAAGCTAGGTTAAATGGGTGCTATCTACACGTTTGGGCATTCTTGTGCATCTCACCCCATTTCATATCAGCTGTATGCTACACTCTCAGTTCTAGCCCTCTATGTCTTTGTCCATGGGCTCAGGAGTTCCCAAGTCTCCCCAAACTTCAGACCAAGCAGCTCTTCCTTTTCTCCCTCTAATTTCAAGACCGACAGGAGTCTATGGAATGTGGTCGAACTCAGCCTGTATCTTCATTACTGACTTTCCCCCTCTTCCACTCACATGTAGACCAGTGCAGTTACCAGCAAGTTTATATGTCTGCTCGTGTGTTTCCTTTGAGTTTCAGTCTTGGAGGGGATTTTGTCCTGAAGGGGCTTGATTACTTGCCTTGATGGCTCCCCTGTGAACAGCTTGCTTGTTTTTGTAATAGCCAAACAGACTGCTGTTTTTGTTTTTTCCTTCTGATCTTTCTTTCAGGAAGTATTTTCTATTTCCCTAGCCACTCCTAGCTTGTCTGCATGTCCTTTCAAGTGGGAATGTTCCACCTCTGAAGGTTCCGGATGGGGCTCAGGATTCCACCTAAGGTCAGATACAGTACAAAGGCTCTGCAAGAAGCCTGATTTCATTGGGCAAGTTTTAGAACCCCTTTTAGGCATTCCAATCAGTAATAGGCTGAAGATGGGCTTAACAAGCTTTCTGTAATCATGTTTCCCTATATTCCTTTCTATTCCACTCAAGTGTCTATTTTACGATCGTAGACAAGGGAAACCAATATTCATCAGACAGTCAAGCACCTTAGCATTATTTCCTCTCTTTTACCCATTTAGACTATGCCTCAATCCCTGTATCATAGAGCCTTGTTGTTCTAAGATTCAGCATACATCACTATTTACCTCTGTCCATTTAGCCCATGCAAACCTGCCTCAGTGTTCCCCTATCTACCTTGTTCTTCCGTCCCCCACCCCCTTCTTGTGTATTTCCCTCTCCTTCCTTGTGTATTGACATCCCCAGCATGCTAGCTATTATGTGACTATCCCCTAACATGTGGTCTACTGTCCCCGCCTCTTACTCCTGGTAACCAACATTTTTTTCTTTATTTCCTTTAGTATGAGTATCTTTTCTTAAGCTTTTACAATAATGATCTTATGTAATGATTGACCTAGTGTGACTGACTTATTTCACTCAGCATAATGTCCTCCAGGTTTATCCTCATGTTATTTGGTGATTTGCAGCTTCATTGATATTCTTCAAAGTAGCATTATATTCCATTGTGTATATGTACCAAAGTTTGTTTATCCATTCTTCCTATTGATGGGCACTTAGGCTTCCTCCGTCATTTTGCTTTTG